CTCTTCCGATCTCCCCAAAACCCCAAAACCCCTTCATGATGAAAAATGAAATATCAAATAAATTTTTTATTTAATGAAAAATATTTATAATACTTATATCTATACATTGTCATAGTCATAAGGTTTATAAGGGATATATAAGGAGGATATAGCACAATCATTTAACAACTACAGTGGTAGCTGCAGCTGCAGTGTTTCTTGACGTTGAGGTTATATTTGCAAAGTATTTAGATTAAAGTGCAGCAAATGTCTCGTCATAGTAATATTCATTGAATAGTTCCTGAACTGAATCCCTTCTCAACAATATCATACTCTTCTACATTCCCTCCTCATCTTGATCTTTCCATTCACTATTAGAATTAGCAGCATCAAAGTTATCTTTATTCTACAAGTAATTATTAACAATTTGGTAATTACAGCTGGAATGAATGGTGCTTTTAAAAAGTTTTATGATAAATCTTGCCATGGATAGCTCTTTAGCCAAGGATGATTTTTAACTTCATTCGGACCGTTAAGCCCTAATCTATTCTAGGGCTTTCTTTAAATCAATTTATTTATGAAGTCAGCCCCTTCGATGCTCCAACCAGGTGGTATTTCATGTCTTTTTATTTAAACTTGCTTTGCCAAGATATGATCTCTGATCTCTTTTCTTGATTTACCCACATAAGGACGCTATTAACAATAAGTCATTTATTTAAAAAAGATTTTTTCAACTTACTCTCCCCATCATGCATTCATAGGCTATTACACCAACTGCGAAGTAGTCGACAGCAACACCATGATTTTAACGACACATCACCTCTGGAGCCATATATCCGGGAGTTCCGCTTGTTTCTTTCGAGTTTTCTGGGTTCCAAATCCTCGCTATTCCGAAATCTGTGACTCTTAGATAACCTTTTTCATCAAAGACTAAATTTTCAGGTTTGATGTCTCTGTGTAAGATGCTTTTGTTGTGAACATACTCCAGTGAAACAAGAATGCAAGCGATAAAGAACTTTGTTTGCTCTTCTGAAAATCTTCTGAATCTCGCAATATGATAACGCAAATCCCCTCCGTTTAATAAATCCATAACGAGGTAGAGGTTCTCTCTATCTTGAAAAGCATACTGCATATTTACAATGAAACTACTCATAACATTAGTTAAAGGATGAAATTACTTATGTTTCAACTATGATAATATTTTTCTTTCGTTGAGGACTGAATTGACACTTCTTTTAGTTAAAACTCTTGCTTTAGACATCTCCTTCATTGCAAACAATTACTTATCTTTTTTCCTCTCAACTTTCCAGACTTTACCAAATCCTCCCTTGCCAATAGCATAGTGATATTGAAAGTTATTTTTAGTCACGGCCACATTCAGTTCTAAGCAAAGTCAAGTCTAAATGGAATTTACCAGTAAGATGCTCATTTTCGAATTCAGGTTGGAAATTGCAGTTGCCCATAATATTAATTTAATTATTGCAAATTATATTTGTCAAGAGAATTATCTAACAACTTAAATACTTGCCATTAAAAATGAAATAATCTTTAAATAAAACTACTCACTGTATTTGTTTACCAACAATAGCAAGGGGTTTTGGGGTTTTGGGGTTTTGGGGTTTTGGGG